CTCGCGCTGGGAGTTGGAGACTGGAGCTGTTCCTATTCGGCCATCTTGCTCCGCCCCCTCTGAGTGGGCTTCTTAATCCTGAGTTCTAATTTGATTGCACTGTGGTCTGAGAGACAATTTATTGTGATTTCTGCTTTTTTACATCTGCTGAGGAATGTTTTACTTCCAATTATGTGGTCAGTTTTAGAATAAGTGTGATGTGGTGCTGAGAATAATGTATATTCTGTTGATTTGGGGTGGAGAGTTCTATAGATGTCTATTAGGTCGGCTTGGTCCAGAGCTGAATTCAAGTTCTGGATATCCTTGTTAATCTTCTGTCTCATTGATCTGTCTAATATTGACAGTGGTGTGTTAAAGTCTCCCACCATTATTGTGTGGGAATCTAAGTCTCTTTGGAGGTCTCTAAGAACTTGCTTTATGAATCTGGGTGCTCCTCCTGTATTGGGTGCATATATATTTTGGATAGTTAGCTCTTCTTGTTGCATTGATCCCTTTACCATTATGTAGTGACTTTCTTTGTCTTTTTTGATCTTTGTTGGTTTAAAGTCTGTTTTATCAGAGACTAGGATTGCAACCCCTGCTTTTTTTTTGTTTTCCATTTGCTTGGTAGATGTTTCTCCTTCCCTTTATTTTGAGCCTATGTGTGTCTTTGCACATGAGATGGGTCTCCTGAATACAGCACATCAGTGGGTCTTGACTCTTTATCCAGTTTGCCAGTCTGTGTCTTTTAATTGGTACATTTAGCCCATTTACATTTAAAGTTAATATTGTTATGTGTGAATTTGATCCTGTCATTATGATGCTAGCTGGTTAGTTTGCCCGTTAGTTGATGCAGTTTCTTTATAGTGTTGATGGCCTTTACAATTTGGTATGTTTTTGCAGTGGCTGGTACTGGTTGTTCCTTTCCATGTTTAGTGCTTCCTTCAGGAACGCTTCTAAGGCAAGCCTGTTGGTGACAAAATTTCTCAGCATTTTCTTGTCTGTAAAGGATTTTATTTCTCCCTCACTTATAAAGCTTAGTTTGGCTGGATATGAAATTCTGGGTTGTAAATTCTTTTCTTTGTTGAATATTGGCCCCCACTCTCTTCTGGCTTGTAGGGTTTCTGCTGAGAAATCCACTGTTAGTCTGATGGGCTTCCCTTTGTGGGTAACCCGATCTTTCTCTCTGGCTGCCCTTAACATTTTTTCCTTCATTTCAACCTTGATGAATCTGATGATTATGTGTCTTGGGGTTGCTCTTCTTGAGGAGTATCTTTGTGGTGTTCTCTGTATTTCCTGAAACTGAATGCTGGCCTGCCCTGTTAGGTTGGGGAAGTTCTCCTGGATAATATCCTGCAGAGTGTTTTCCAACTTGGTTCCATTCTCCCCATCACTTTCAGGTATACCAATCAAACGTAGATTTGGTCTTTTCACATAGTCCCATATTTCTTGCAGGCTTTGTTCATTTCTTTTCACTCTTTTTTCTCTAATCTTGTCTTCTCCGTTTATTTCATTAATTTGATCTTCAGTCATTGATACTCTTTCTTCCACTTGACTCATTCAGCTATTGAAGCTTCTGTGTGCTTCACGAAGTTCTCATGCTGTGTTTTTCAGCTCCATCAGGTCGTTTATGTTTTCTCTACACTGGTTATTCTAGTTAGCAATTCATCTAACTTTTTTCAAGGTTCTTAGCTTCCTTGCATTGGGTTAGAACACACTCCTTTAGCTCGGAGGAGTTTGTTATTAACCCACCTTCTGAAGCCTACTTCTGTCAACTTGTCAAACTCATTCCCTCTCCGGTTTTGTTCCCTTGCTGGCAAGGAGTTGTGATCCTTTGGAGGAGAAGAGGCATTCTGGTTTTTGGAATTTTCAGCCTTTCTGTGCTGGTTTCTCCCCATCTTTGTGATTTTATCTACCTTTTGTCTTTGATGTTGTTGACCTGTGGATGGGGTTTTGGTGTGGATGTCATTTTTGTTTGTTTTCCTTCTAACAGGCCTCTCAGCTGCAGGTCTGTTGGAGGTCCACCCAGATCCTGTTTGCTTGTGTATCACCAGCAGAGGCTGCAGAACAGCAAATATTGCTGCCTGTTCCTTCCTCTGGAACGTTCGTCCCAGAGGGGCACTCGCCAGATGCCAGCCGGAACTCTCCTGTATGAGGTGTCTGTCAGCCCCGACTGGGAGGTGTCTCCCAGTCAGGCTACATGGGGGTCAGGTACCCACTCGAGGAGGCAGTCTGTCCGTTATCAGAGCTCAAACACTGTGCTGGGAGAACCACTACTCTCTCCAGAGCTGTCAGGCAGGGTCGTTTAAATCTGTTGAAGCTGTGCCCACAACTGAATATAACGTACACTTCTCCTGAGTGCTCTGTCCCAGGAAGATGGGTGATTTATCTATAAGTCCCTGACTGGGGCTGCTGCCTTTTGTTCAGAGATGCCCTGCCCACAGAGGTGGAATCTAGAGAGGCAGTCGGCCTTGCTGAGCTGCGGTTAGCTCCACCCAGTTCAAACTTCCTGGAGGCTTTGTTTACACTGTGAGCATAAAACTGCCTACTCAAGCCTCAGCAATAGTGGACGCCCCTCCCCCAACCAAGCTCTAGCATCTCAGGTCGATCTCAGACTACTATGCTAGCAGCGAGAATTTCAAGCCAATGGATCTTAGCTTGTTGGCCTCAGTGGGCATGGGACTCACTGAGCCAGGCACCAGAGGGAATTTCCTGGTCTGCCAGTTGCAAAGACTGTGGGCAAAGTGCAGTATTTGGGCAGGAGTGTAGCTTACCTCCAAGTATGGGCACTCACGGCTTCCCTCGGCTAGGAATGGGAAATCCCCTCACCCCTTGTGCTTCCTGGATGAGGCAACGCCCCGCCCTGCTTCAGCTTGCCCTCTGTGGGCTGTACCTACTGTCCAACCATTCCCAATGAGATGAACCAGGTACCTCAGTTGGAAATGCAGAAATCACCCTCTTCTGCATCAGTCTTGCTGGGAGCCATAGACTGGAGCTGTTTCTATTGGGCCACGTTGCCAGAAATCCCCTAGAAATTCTTATAGCAATTGATGGAATATTTGAATCTAATAAATCAAACCTAATAATTAAAAATTTGAGCTTCATTTCGTGTATTTTAATTTTTTTCATTTTGAATAATTGTCACTATATTTTACAAGATTATTGATTTATATCATGTTCAACTTTTTTTAAAAAAGGGTTCTTCACTATAGACAGTTTGCAAATAACAGATCTCTGGTAAGCCTAAAAGTACGTTTACAGATAGGAAAGCAAAATCCTTTATATACATTTTTTTTTACATGTTATTGAAATTTTACAAGTTATCTGGATGCACCATGTGATGTACTGGAATAGAACAAGGTACGTGATACTCAAAAAATAAGTATAATAGATCACTTAGAAACACTGTAATCTAAGTGGCTGACCACGCTTTTTTATTTAGGAATAAATCTTAAAGATCATCTTTTTTCCCTTTTTCATGGTTGCATACTATGCTACTGAATGGATGTCACTTTTAATTAACCTGTCTTACACTGATGAACATTTGAATTGTTTCCAACCATTTATTACAAAGAATACTGCAACATTACTGCAACATACTCCCACAATACTGCACTATTGCAGAATACTGCAAATATACATGCTTGTATAATTATTTCACACACAGAAGTACTGTATGTATGTCCAGTAAAAATTATATGCCTGTTATTTTGATAGCTGTTACTTAATTGTCCTTCATGGGAGTTGTACCAATTTAGTTTCTCATCAGTAGTGCACAGATGTGCTAGTTTTCTCATAGCTTTGTCCAACAGAGTCATAGAGATTTTAAGTAGTTACAGATTTAATTTGTCCTTTTGCTTTTTATAACATTATCACAGTTAGTGCCAGAAATAGGGTAAGTTTATACTTGTTATTTTATAGGCACCAATTAAGAGATACGGGGGTGGGATTCAGAGATCAGACAGATGACAGCTACAGTGGCCTAGCAGAAAGAATACAAAATTAGGACTGTTAACACTAGGGTTTTGGTTGTGTGACTAAGTTGCTGTGTGACATTAGACAGCAAGTCTTAATTCCCCTACTAACATTTACTAGATCTGTACCCTTGGCTAAGTACCTCAGCTCTTCTGGAGCTTTTGGTTGTTTAATCTGTTAGAGATAAAACTGTGTTACCTACCTAAATGAAAGCTCTTGCTTTAGGTGTTTTGTAACTTTAGCTCTTCAATTCTACTGTTTACCCAGTCTTTAAACTGGCCATACTGACTTCGCTAGATTTCGAGCCTGAGGTAATTATAGCTACCTTTGAATATTATTTTAGATCTTGCTATTTTAATTTTTTTTATACTTAACATGTGTACATAATACATATATATGTAATATATAACATACATTATATATAACTTCATACACACAAAAAATACAAACGTGTAAGGAATATAGTGTAACAAAAATTACTTGCTGTGAATTTACCATTAGCTTAAGGAAGAACAATACCTAATATTTCTCTTAGGTATTATTAATATACCTCTTGTGTGCCTGTCCCTAATTGCATCCTTCCTGAGCTAATTTTTTATAAACATAGTCATCTTTCCGTGTTCATGGGGGATTGGTTCCAGAACATCTGTAGATGCTGAAGTTCCTCATATAAAATTGTGTAGTATTTGAATATAACCTACGTACATTCTCCTGGATACTCTTTAAATCATCTGTAGATTATTTGCAATACCTAATACAATGCCTACACATCATTCATGTGGACTTAATGTAGTACTTCGTAAATACAAGTTTTGCTTTTTGGAATTTGGGTGGAATTTTTTTTTTTCCTGAATATTTTCGATCTACAGTTGATTGAATCCACAGAGGTAGAACCTATGGCCCGATTCTAATATAGGTATAAATTATCTTCTATGAAAGCATCTGATCAGCTGTGACATGGGATGGGCATCTATTAATTATAAAAAGGAGAAAAAGATTCAAAAACGACTACAGACTTAAACCATTATTGTGACTTTATTACAATAGTTAACAATATTTTAGTGGTATACAATCATATCACAATTACTCAAGCTATATACAGACAGGTATTTATACAAGTCTACATTAAAAAAAGAAAAAGCAATTAATGACCTTCCCAAAATCACATTAGCAACAACATTTTTTTCTAAAAGTTATGGCCAGTTACAAAAAAAATTCACAGTTATTCTGCAAACATTTTAAAGATGCAGGAATTGTATTGCACATTATATAATTATAAACCATAACAAGATTTATATATTTTAATCTAGTTTTTCACAAAATTTACATTATCATGCAATACTTTACTGTACACAGAATGATGAGACTAGAATAAACTGGTTAACTTACAAACTTATAATAGCCACAAATTTAGAATTATTTTAAAGTTATATTTAAAATTATTATACTAAAAAAACACTCCAGTGTAATAAAACTTAACAGACACAATCATAATTTGTTCAAAGATCAAATTACTTTTTAGTGTTCTTCTTTGTCTTTGCCTTTCTTTTCCTTTTCATCCTGTAGTGCAGTACCGAGCTTTTTGATAAGAACTGACAGAACCTTGTCCAGTGGATCCATGACTCCTCTTTGAAGCCATTTAGGAATAGTAGTCCTAGCATGATGAAAGCCCAATTTTTGAAGAATATAATCAACACCTACTGGATCAATCTTTCTTCCAGTCCAAGAAATTAACCTAAAATAAAAATTACAGTTATTATTAAGGAGTATAATAACGCCCTACAGCACGGTTCTAATGGTAGGAAAAGAACATCACTAAGCCTCTGTAATATACTCAAGACAAAATATTTTCAGTAGGTACATTTGTATAATTGAGCCCATAATTCCTGGATTCACCATAATAATAGTATTCAAAAAATAATATATCTATGATTATCTTTGACAACCTAAACACAGCAGTAGTGTTTACTATATTTCATCCTGAATAATTTACTTTAGGCCTGTTATACAGTTATCTTAAACATATAAAAAGACATCTGGTTAATTTTAGTAGATTTCATAAGCATGTGGCATAATGGGAAAAAAAGGCTAAAATTTACTGAATGCTATGTGCTAAACATATTTGAAGGGAGAACCATTTTTTCCCTATTCTTGCTATTTCCTTATACGTGAAGAAACAGCTATTACTGAAACACTCCTGGCCACCTTCTGCCCCTGTATGGATGATTTATCCAATAGGCAGAGTTAACAGAGGAAGTAACAGTTCAGTACCCTCGTCCCTGTTGGGAGCCCTTCATTTTAGTCTGTTCCTTCATGCCACAGATTTTTCAGGAGCAAGCCGCTAAACAGATTAGCCCTAGAGTATATTCTGTGTTGTCTGTGGCTGAGTACATACATGGAACTGCTGATTGTGCAACTCCTGCAACTCCCTATCCCACCCTTCCCTGAAGTTCTGCATCGATGCCCTGCAGGTAGGACCAAACCCGAACTTTGTAGAAAGCTATTGTTGCCATATATCTAAACCACATTTTTTGTTATCAGCTTTATCCATATTAATCTCTCCCACTATTTCAACTGGTTCTGAACTCAGGGTGGGGGTTGGGGGTGATTAGGCATTTATCTCCTCAAACTCAAATAGTTATAAGCATTTTGCGTTAATTAACTCATTTAACCAGTGTAATGATCCTACAAGGTGGGTAATACCATTTTCCAAATTTTTCGTGAGTCAACTGAGGCAGAGAGAACAGAGGGGTCAGGTCTTTTGGCCTAGCTCAGTCAGCTACTATGCAAAAGAGCTGGGCTTACAGCCAGAGCTCTTAAACCATGCTACCACTACACCACATTACTTAACTAGTTACTCTTGATAGTTTGCTAAAAAAAGGAATATAGTAACTATTTTTATGCTCACTTGAAACAATTCATTTTGTATTCAATTTAAATATATTATTATTTAGATTTGCAAATACAAAACAGATTTTACAAACAGTTTTCTGCATTAGGACCTCTGCAGTATTTTAACAGTTAATATTTCTCATGGGTATATGCACTATTAGTACCAAAGTGTTTTGCTTATTTAGTTACAACCAATTTTACTGTATACCAATTATTTATTAACACACAAAGTCACTACTTTCTGCCTATACAAGAGTCCTCACTGCATAATGAAGATTTTATTTTGGAATTATTTTGTGACATAAATATGTCTGAATAAAAACCTTATCTAAATAAAATCTATATCATTTTGCAGAATGTTGTGCTGGGATGTAATGGATTTTTTTAAATACTGTTATTTCAGGATTCAGACAGTTACAGCAAAGCAGATGAGATGAAAGGAAAAAAAAACAGGAAGGTGACCATGACTCAATAAGGGAACCTTAATCTGATAGTGTTAAATTTGAGATTTTAGGCATGGTTTTATAATGCTTAGTATGCAAACAGAGGGGCACTGTGACCCTACAGGTTTTATTACAGTGTTATAACATATATCCAGCGAAAAATTAAAATAGTTCCTTAACAATTAAATATGACTTCTACTGCATCTTGTCGTACTAAGTAACAAAACAGTTTACAGTAGCTACCTCAAACCCTGAAAATAACATCTTGGTGAGAAGGTGAAAAACTAATGGCAAGAGTGGAAGGATAATTATTCTCATATTTTAGTGACTGACAGAATGTCACCCACTGGACAACTCATCAGTGCTGAGCTATTCTCAGCGTTTGTACTTCATTCACCTTACCTAGAAACACAAAAGCAGAAAGCAGCACCAAAGACAGCACACAGAAGCTATCGACATTACAGGAGACTAACTTCTGAATACATTTTTTGATAATCATATGTAACTTACATTATTCATAACTTTTCTTGTAGTAATCCTAATCCCTTAGCATATGGGTAAAATGTATATACTCATTACTTACCTAAGAGTAGGTTCTAGATGCCATGTATTGCACATAAAATCTCTCCAGTCCACAGTAGTGTAAGTGATGCTATCTTCTCTATCTTTATCAGAGGAATTGTCATCATGTATAATAATTGGACTTTTCTGTCCTGGTCGAGTAGATAAAATCCGAGGTGGAAAGATGGCTATAAGGAAAATTTAGATTAGTATTATACATTTATCTTAAATCACCATAAGAATTAGAACATCAGAATTGGTTTCATTTCTCATTTTATCTGTGACCTGGCCAAAGCCTCATTTAATTGCATTTCTTAAAAAAAAAAAGTTTAAAATAAGCCATAAGTACCGATTATTGATATTTCTTGGAGATAAACAGTGTCAACATTAATGATTAAAAAATGCTGAGATCATTGACTTGATAGCAAGCCTATGGCACTGAAATTGATAGCTGCAGGTTTCCTAAAGAATGGCTGCAGGCAGTTTTGTTTTTTGTTTTTTTTTTAACAGCTTTGAGATAGAATTCATACACCATACCATGCATTAATTTGAGCTGTGTAATGGTTTTTGCATGTTAATGGCTAGATGTATATATATTTGAACAGTGGTACTAAAGAGGTTTTTATGTAAGCAAGCTTTTCACCTTAAGACAAGTCTTTTAATTGGCTATAATAATTAAATATAAAGTGGAATCTGAGACATAGGTATTAGAGTGGTGCAAAAGTAATTGCAGTTTTTGCCATTAATACTTTCATATGATCTTATTTAATGAATACAGCTTTCCTCTTAGGGCATTAGTTTCAGTACACAAACTGGATGTAAAATAATTGACTGATTAGGTAATACGTGTTATGTAGCTCTGGTTATAACTTGATTGGGAATAAGCCTCAAAATGAAGCTGTAGTAACCCACTACATAAGAACACAGATGCCCTGTTCAGTTGAGGCCTGCTCAGTTGCTGGGTCTTTATTACTGGTGCTGGTTACAGTGCTGCAGTTTATTTTGATGTTCTCTAAATATGTTGATTCTGGTATAGTCTGACATGCTGTTAAGAATTTTCTCAGGTATGTTTTGAGTATTTGGCCAAAACGAATTGCTTGTTGTTTGTAATAACTTTATTTATAATTGAAATCCTCACAGATATATTTTGTTATTGTAAAATCCACCCCCTTTTCCCATTGAAATGTTTTATAACAGTTTATATTAAAACAGTCTTTTTGTTGTTGTTTTTTAGAAATACACATCGTTTGTGGCAGACCAAGATCAACACACTATTTCATAAAATGACAAATGTTTCACATCATACCCAAGAGAAACAAATTTGTCAGGTTTTCAAATATAGGTAGACTAGAAAATAATTCTGAACTTCACAGGTTTATCTTGAATCTATTTTTTTCTACATTAAGTTTAAATATTAAGGCACAAAAACGAAAGGATTACCAGTGACTGGTATCTGTTGGGGCTGTATGTGAAGATTTTATCTACTTATATATAAGATTGCCTATTATACAGTTTCTGTCATTTTACTTGAAGTTTCTACTGAGGTCATATGGATTTCTACCAGCCATCATTATTGATTTTACTCTCTCACTGAATTTTGGGCACATCTCGATTGAATATTAATAAAACAGCATTTCAATGTATGCTATGCTACCTTTGTACTCTTTCAACATGGTCGTTTGATAATTTTTATTTTTAAAATATCTTCAGGACAAATTCTATATTTTTTCCTCATGAAGAAAATGAAACAGTATTATAGTGTGACTTGAACAAATTACATTTATTCCAAGCTATTTATCAGGAAGCACATCTGTGATTTTACCATTGTATATTTATAACGGTGCAATAAATATTTATTGAATGAATAAATGACTATATATTTTTTAAGCATTCCAAATCATTACATTTCAAACTACCTCATTCTTTTCAACAGTTACAGAGTACTATAATATATTAGCTAATTCCATATATTACGGTTGCCATACTTTTTTTTTTTTGAGACAGGATCTTACTCTGTCACTCAGGCTGGAGTGTGGTGGTACGATTATGGCTCACAGCTCACTGTAGCCTTGAACTCCCAGGTTCAATTGGTCCTCCCACCTCACAGCCTCCCAAGTAGCTGGGGACTACAGGTGTATGCCACCACACCTGGCTAATTTTTGTGTTTTTTGTAGAAATGGGGTCTCACTTTGTTGCCTAGGCTGGTCTCAAAGCCCTGGGCTCAAGCAATCCATCCTCCTCGGCGTCGCAAAGTGCTGGTATTACAGACATGAGCCACTGCCCCCAGTCACCATACATTTCTTCATGGGTAAACATTAAGTTACCAGTGTGTAAACCAGTATTAGCAAGCTCATGAACCCAAATACCACCACTGAGATTTAAATAATTTATGTATTAAAAAGAAAAGGTTTTCTGCATTCCAAACATTTATCAGCTTAATTCAGTTTTCACAATTAGGTAAATAACTCATACTTCTTTATTATGTAGTTGTTTCTTTAGTCATTTCACTTTGATTTGCAGTATTTCCTCACATTTTGCTATTTTTCAAGAATCTCCTATAAGGTCTAACTGAAAATGTACATAAGATAATGTATACAGAAACACTTTGTAAAGTATAAAACACCATTGGCGCTGTATATATAGCAAGTACTCAGAAAGTCTGTGATAGTGTTACTAACGCTATTTACTGATATCTTCAACTCACAGAAGGAGATATATTCCACTCATTTTCTCATTAGACCATAACAATTCATGAAAATGGCACTGACAGCTGCCATTCCTGAAGCCTGAAAGAAAGAGTATTCCACCCACCTTTTTCTTTTTCTTTAAGATAAGCTGACACTAAATCATGAAGAAACATGATGAGCTCAGCATCCATAGTCACACAAATGTGGTCAGTGAACTCTGTCACCACACTACATTCTACTTTTGGCTTCAGGTTGGCATCTGCAATAATATGGTAAAAGATTTAATAAAATGAGTCATCTTCTTCCCATTAATAAGGATTTACATAGGTCTGCATAAATACATCCACATGAAATGCAACTGTAAAGAAATGAGTAATATCTGTATGTGATTCATAGGATGATGATAGTTTGTTAAGTACTTTCCTAGTACAGATTGAGTATCCCTTATCCAATTATGCTTGGGATCAGATGCCTTTCAAATTTTGGATTCTGGAATATTTGCATTATACTTACTGGTTTTAGAATTCCAATCCAAAAATCTGAAATCCTCCAATGAGCATTTCCTGTGAGTGTCATGTCAGTGTTCAAAATATTTTGGATTTTAGGGCATTTCAGATTTTTGGATTGGGGTGCTCAACCTATATATGCCATTTATTCCTCATAATAGTCCTATAAATGAAGTCCAATTATTCTTCATTTTACTGAGAGAGAGGTATAAGTTCATTAAATAATTTTCCAGAGGTCATATAGCTGATAAGAAAATAAATCAGCTTTGCCTAGAAAATCAATTTCATTAGATATTAATATTTTAAAAAATCCATGGGAAGAAAGCAGTAGTTTGAAGTGCCTTTGGAATTTTCTTATTAACTTTCAATTGTTTTTCTACATACCCTGTAATGAAGGCTCCTGTGGTTCTTGAACATGAATGGATTTAAAGTCAAGCTGCATCCTTGGTAATGCAAAGATAGTCTCTGTTTCATGGTTGTAGCTAGAACCTCCTCTGAATCCACTCAACAAACTAGAATTCTTCACAGTAGTGCTATTCTCAGTGTTGTTAGCATCAACATTACGAAGTAGATTTAGCTCTACATGCATAATGATAGAGAGTCAGATTAAAATCATAGGCCACTATAATATACAGAACTATTATTTCAAAAGTTGGAAAGAATCACATTATATATAGAGATATAGATACACTACATATATATGTATACAGATATATACATATATATGTATATATACACACATATATATGTATATAGATACATGTAGTATATCAATATCAGTATCTCACAGTTGTCAAGACCAAAGCTTTATAATGGGATTTGTATAAACCGAATACATTCTAGCTTTGGTTTCTGGGATTTTAAAATGAGTATTATTCTTAACTGAATTCATGTCTGAAGTTGGAATTTCACTAATCCCAAAAGGCTCCATAGATTGAACACTTCACTCTTACAGAATTTGAGATTAAATAGGATCCTGGTCTTGAAATCAGGTACAAGTACTGATTTTCCCCAACATATGTGCTATGATTAAACTATAGATCTTAGTTTTATAAAGATCTTTTATAGATCTTAGAATTATAATTATTTTTCTTCAGACAGCAGTTCATTATGCTAATAGATGCTTTAGAACACTCCAGCCATAAAGATCCCCCTTCCCCCAAATCCCTGTTTGGAAGGTAAAATAGTCAATACAGGCATAATCTTCTGATTCACTTTCTTATTCTCCTTTGTTCTAGGAACATTTTTAACAGTCTCTATTCAATCTGTGAGATGGCCTATTCTATGGTAACTGTTCTCATGGGGCCTAATCATCATCTTTTCCGTTTTGAAAAAAGGTCATTTTTAGCTGGGCATGATGGCTCATGCCTGTAATCCCAGCACTTTGGGAGGCCGAGGCAGGTGTATCACGAGGTCAGGAGTTTGAGACCAGCCTGACCAACATGGTGAAACCCTGTCTCTACTAAAACTACAAAAATTAGCCAGGTGGGGTGGCACACACCTGTAATCCCAGCTACTCAGGAGGCTGAGGCAGGAGAATCGCTTGAACCTGGGAGATGGAGGTTGCAGTGCGCCAAGATCCAGCCTGGGCAACAGAGCAAGACTCCGTCTCAAATAAAAAGAAAAAAGGTCATTTTTATGTAACACACTGAAAAGTCTCATCACCTCTCACTCTAGTCAGCTTTCCAATACACAGAGATAATTGGTAAAAGCAATACTATAAACCCAAATCCCAAAAGCACCACAAAATAAGTTATCATGACCACACTATCACAAGACTGTTGTATCTAATCAAATGGAAAAAAAAAAAAAAACCAACAACTATCAAAAGCACTTTCTTTTAAACTTACAACTTGATAGAATCATAATATTTGGTTTCATTCTGTTCTAGCTATCTGAACTTTAAGTTTGTGGTATTCCACTATTTAGTTGTTTAACAACCTCCCCAAACCTCCATTTTTTAGCATTACTAGGAAAATATTTTTCCAGAATCATTTCCTAAATATTTTCTAAAATACTTCTCAATGTAATAAACTTAATTTCAAAGCCAATTTTATTTAGAATGTTTTCAATTACATCTAAAATAATTTGAGTCCATGAGATGCCGCATTACCAGAGTGGTATTAAATAAATATTACTTGTGTCAGCCAGCAAGATTAAAATGAAAATTGTTTAAGGAAATGAAAACACCGTCTCCATTTAAATTCTAAACACAGTCAACAGAAGCCAAAATGGAAAAAACAAAATAAATCTCTCTAAAGACTCAAAATTTTAACCTTCATTCCTTGTGGCTGTAACATAATTGAACCATTCTTTCACACTTGCTACTCCATGGGGTGGATTTTCATGGCGACGCCTTGTTATCTTGGTTATTGTTGCCATAGGACTTTCCAAAGCACCACATGGTTTGGTAACCATAGTATTATGACCCAGATGAAAATCTAGTGTTTGTACAATATATGTAGAATGATCACTGGAGCCTAGAACAAAATAAAAATACTTTTTAAAGTAATAAACCATATTTAGATTCAAGATGATAACTGTGGCCTCAGAGCTATAAATTCAGTTGTCATATATAGGAAGGCTATAAAAATGAAGAATAAATGAGGATTAAAACCAAATAATTCTTCTATTAGTGGTAACTGGATTTGTCCCTAGTTAGATGAAGAGCATCAAACATTTTTTTCCCTCATAATGTAGAAACCACCAAGTAGAAAAGTAAAGCTCAAAGGAAATGGGTTTATCACTGTAGAGATAAAAGCACAGCCTTGCCTATATATTTTATAAGACAGTCTTGACTGGCAAATAATTTCCACACTACCACGATGTCACTTCATGTTTTTATAAGATTACAGTAACTATTACCATGACTATGTTTAGCCACAGCAGCAGAAACTTTAATTGCCTAAGAAACATGGAGTAAGATGGCAAGTTCAGAAATTAACATGTTCCAGACATTATAAATATTGACTCACTAGCAGTGAACTCCTTAACATGTCAGATACATGAGAACAATCAGAGATGGACTTCAGAAATATAATTGTCATTTATAGTCATAACAAGATAGGAGAAAGTAAAAGCTAGAAATGCGTCAGTTTACCATCTTCCCAGATTTTCTGAGCTTCAGTCCAAAAAGCAATATTTGGTTCTTCTAAATGAAAAAGGGCCCAAGATTTTGAACGGAAATTTGGACCATGAAAACATGCCAGTGTCATATGATTTCCATGTAAGCTCATTGATCCTCCAAATTGCATTCCATCTTCTGGTAATGGAATCTGAAATAAGGATATGTGGCATCCTGATACCACCTTCAATACTCCAGGCCAGTGTCGATGATGTGCTGCATCAAGCACTGCAAGAAAACCACAAAACACATAACCTGAAGTGCCTAATGAGTACCCTTGAATAGGGTAGAGTGAGGCAGCAAGTGGCTACTTTCTACAGTCTCAGGTAAGGGATGAAAACAGTGTCCAGTGCCTGTTTAACATTAAGCAAATAGCTAATAAAGAGACATTCTAGGAAAAGACGCTGCATGAGGATGGATATAGCTAAGGAAAGCAGTAACTTGCTAAAAATAATTTAAACTAATATATCTGAGGCTGGGTGCAGTGGCTCACGCCTGTAATCCCAGCACTTTTGGAAACCGTAGCGGGTGGTTCACTTGAGCTCAGGAGTTCAAGACCAGCCTGACCAACATGGTGAAACCCTGTCTCTACTAAAAATACCAAAATTAGCTGGGTGCAGTGGTGCATGCCTGTAGTCCCAGCTACTTGGGAGGCTGAGGCAGGAGAATTGCTTGAACCCAGGAGATCGAGGTTGCAGTGAGCTGAGATCATGCCACTGCACTCCAGCCTCCAGCCTGGGTGACAGAGTGAGAAGCTGTCTCCAAAAAAAAAAAAAAAACAGGAAAGAAAAAAAAAACAAAACTTAATATGTCTGTAATGATTAATGTGTCACAAAGTACTTGCATGAAATTTTATGTAATTTCTTATTATAACTGTGTAAACTAGATATTTCATCTTGACTGATTTCAAGTGAAGAAGCAGAAGAACAAAGAAGTTAAGTGAACCAGTAACTGGAAGACCTAGAAATCAAATGCATACCCCCTTATTTTAAGTACTGTTTTTAAACTCTTATATTCCTTTGCTACTCAAAGCAAGGTCAGAGGGCCAGCAGAATCAGCATCACCTGGGAGTTTGTGAGAAATGCTAACTCTTAAGTCCACCTGTGCCTACTATATCAAAATCTATATTTCAGTAACATCTCCAGGGGTTTCAGATGCATGTTAAAGTTTGAGAAGCACTAATCAAACATACAAGGTATATTTTCCATTTTTTCCAATAACGTTCCTTTTGGCTGTTTTCCATACCTCTCACCCATAATCCAACCAAAGATCATGAATTGCATTCAGCTATTATGTTTTCCTTTGAACAATTCCTAAGCCTTTATGTTTGTTTTTTTGTGACGAGGAGTTGTTTTGAAGAATCCAGGCATTTTGCAGAACATCCCTCAATTTTTATATGCCTAATATAAATTCTAGTGTAAAGGAAATACATGGACTAGAGGAAAAACATAAATGACAACACAGGAAGTAACTGAAAAAGATTTAGAAGGTAGAGCATTCTTTAGGACAATTGGCTACATCTCCTCAACAAGTCAATTCATATAAAAAATGAACTGTGCTAAATTAAAAGAAGGCAAAGGAACATAACCACATTTAACCTGTGATCTTGGATTGAATAAACTGGTTTGGACAAAACCATTATAGAGGACATTTTTAGATCAATCATGGAAATCAATGTGTTTTGAAAGCTAAAGGAGATAATTAGCAAAATCGAAAGTTGGAGATTGTTGACATACAAAATGGTATGAATTTGGTATTTTCTTAAAATGTACACATATATATAGATACATAGAAAAATATCTGGAGGTATATGCTCTAAGGTGTTCACAGTGATGGCAGAGTGGAACATGATTGTTTTATTTTTTGCTTCTCTTGTGTATTCTAGTTTCTTTTCAATGTACACATATTACTTCTGTGATAATTAAGTTATTAAAAAGCTATCCTCATTCTGACTGCTTCTCACCACTTACACCTCTGTCATCCTAGTGAAAGCCATCATTTCTTGCCTGGCCTCTTGCAATGGCTTCCTTACAATAATGATGTAAATATGTATGTAACAATGGTAATGGTAACTATTGCAGTGGTTTCCTTCCATTCTTAACTGCCTATAGTCTGTTCTTCACACAGTAGCCAGAGTGAGCTTTAAAAGGGAGAATTTTTTAAAAAGGTATATCAGATATCAGATCTGTTTAAAACTCTCTGATAGCTAACCATCATATTAAAAATCTTATCTGGGGTATACCTCTGTGAATTCATATCCAGCATTTTCGTACTTGCTCATTTCTGTTCCAGCCACAGTGGCAACCTTAATGATCCTCAAGCCAAGTTTGTTCCTACTAGGGGAACTTTGGACTCAGTATCCCCCTATGCCTGAAACTCTCTTCCCCCACATCTTAGCCTTGTTCTTTCATTCACATTTCCACTAAAATGTCACTTCAGAAAAGGCCTAAATGATCACACTTTCTAAAATAGCTGTCCTCACATTTAATCATTCTCTATATTCTTCCCCTGTTTTGTTCTTTTGCTTATTAGCACTTCTCTCTAACTGAAATTATCTTACATATTTAGTTAGTAAATTTGTTAGGGTCTTTCTCTCCCATTAGAATCTATGCTTCATGAGGGTAGTGATTCTGTCCATCACTAGATCTCCTGTGCCTAGAATAGTGCCTAAGCACATGGTTGTAGCTTAATAAATATTTGCCAATTGAATTACTAAGTGAAAATAATGATCTGCTTAATACCACTCACCTAGTAAATCCAAATTGAGATATTCTGACTCCATAGACATTCTAAACTAAAACATGATATTGTCATAAACAGTATTCAAGAGTGTGGAGTGAGTATGGATGCAGATGCACTGCAGCAAAGGGAAGAGATAACAAATGATGTCTTCCTAAATAATGGCCTCTAATTCCATTGGCAGATAGAAAATCTGGCCCTTTGCTAACTGAGTGGGATAAAGAGCCTGTGGGCTATTTTCTAAGTAGGGCATACAGATTATTATTTTAAATTAAGAATGTACCATAGTTAGTGAAAGATAAAGCATATATAAAAGCTTAATTCTAATTCTTACATTGTTCTTGTGAACTCTTTTCTAGGTTGCTAGTCATTGTCTTTGGCGGAAGATAAGGAACTGGTCCCCAGGTAGACAGAGCTCGTTTGCTGGTATCAAATTGTTGTGTGAAAAATTCCTGGAGTTTCATTCCTATTTTTATCAGGTCTGGTGTGGTTGATCTTGATATCATTACTTGGAAAATATCCCACTTCAAATCTCCATGGACGAAAATCTCACTAGAGCATAAAACAGAATCTTTGTCATATGTCTTACAGAAGATGCTCAAAAAGTACAGGAAACATTTTCTTGCCCCACCCAGCTTTTTAATTTGTATTAATTGCATAATAAATAAGAGTTTTATAAGAAAAATTGCTATTTTCTCACCAGATGATAGACAATATGTTGAGAACAGTCATGTAAATTGTCCAAAAAGCAATCCTTAATAAATACCTTTTATCAGTTATGCTTGAATCCAATGTATTATACAAGTTTACTTTCCATTCATCCTGAAGCTTAAGATCAGCATTACTGAAGATGCCCATGAGGATACTTGAGCCCATGTAATCAACACGAGCTTCAGTAGAACCCATAGTAATCTGAATTTTGTGACTGGGTTGCTGATTTGGATGTTCAGAAATATGAGCTAAAATAGAAACAATAATTTTCACAGACATGTCCACAGGAAAAACTCGTAAGAGTCAATTTCCAAAAGCGTTTTGATATCTATCTATCTATCTACCTATCTATCTATCTATCTATCTATCTATCTGACTTAAGGCTATGTTAGATCAGTTGTAAAATTCCAACATACCAACCATCTCCAAAGCATTGACATCTATGGTCCCTCCAACTACTCCTCCTTTAGAATCTAATTGTGATCTTCCCAGACCAACAGACATGCTAATCTCTCGATCACGATTACTTCCTACTGACAGACGGCCCTGGCTCTTCAAACCACTAGTTGTCCAACTAAAAAATGAAAAAAAGGTTATTAGATATATAGTTTCCAGTGTCATGAATTAAAACAGGATTTAAATTAAAAAGCAGTTAAATCAGTTTATTCAATAGGTCAAGTTTGACAATGAAACAACATACTTTTTATAAAAACTATGTGGTAAATATCTGAATATTAACATTGATAATGAAGCTTTACTCCTCGCTAGAAAATTACCCTGTTCTCTTTATAATTGATTCCCTTTTTATAGAACATATATTTCATGCTGTTTTATATTGCAGTATCCTTAGAATTAAGCCGTTTTCAGGATAAAACATTTTATATCGTTTACTATCTTTTTCAAATATTTAGCATTCAAAAAAGGTTCTGAATATCTTTACTACAATAGAAGAAAAATTACAAAAATGATTAAATACATTTCCTTTGTATCTGAATAGCTTACGTTGTATTTCCCATTACATTACTCATATTCATTTGAACGTTTAATTGCTTCAAGTTGATAGCAAACACGACAAGTGTTTCCCATGGGGTCCCTTGTTGGCTTGCTGCTTTGTTTGATTTGTTAAAAGGAGTTGATGTTTTTGAAAGTGAATCTAAAAATAGAAAAATCAAATACATGTTCATTCACATAAATGCCAAGCTAGTCACAACGCAAAAACTATTTTTATCGCTATAATCCATAAAGTAAAAATATAATATTCTTGTATTAGAATCTAATGTTTAATAGTTATATTGCCTCTAAAATAATAGTTACCATTTACTAAATGTTTATAAGTGCTGGCAGCTTTACCTCTTGAAAGCTCATAAAATTATGTATGGCCCCCATTTTATATGAGGAAATTTTGGTGTGCATGGGATATAGCAGCACAGATCATGCATCACCCTAGGATTTTGTTTAACAAAGAAGAAAATCATAAGGTGCCAAATACAGGACTCAAAGGCAGAAACCACTCTGAAATGCAGACGCCGGTTGGGGTGCCTGTTTTGTGTTCTTATGGACTTAGTATGTATCTTGAATCCTGCATTTGCTCATTATATTTTAATCTTTTGACAAGAACTACATCATTCATTTTTATACAGTCAGGCACAAGTACAAGCCCAAGGCCAAACCCATATGGAGCACACAAACAATATGCTAATTACTCTCCCCTTATCCATTCGCAAACCTACTGGCCATCTAGCTGTCTTGATGGCAATACTTTGAAATGTCTGTTTTGTTGTTTTTACTGTCTTTGGGGATTTTTTTTTTTTGACATGTCATAAAAACCTCAAGAGTATATTTTCCTATAGTTAGGGCTGAAATCTGAGAGTAACTAAGAATTTATCCTGAGAACACTGTAGGGCTACTGATAACAAAAAGAGCAGTGTTACCTCTTCGAGGAACTGAAGAATCAGATACACTTCTTGATCTTATGGAAGCTGGGGATTTTAGGCTCTGTCCTACTGTCCCTGGTGACATGGTACTGTTTGTCATATGCTCATTGAACACATTAGGTGACTGAGGCATGTGGGTGAAGGAGGCTGACTGACTTGGCTGCTCCCAGGTCTTGCAGTAAGCTTTTCTTGATGATTCAGGGGAAAGGTGCTGGCTTACACCTTCAATGGAATCTGGTGTCCCTGGGCCAGATGCTAGTAGAAAACAAAACAAAAAATCCAAAGTAACAGGGTAAAATCCCTATGTTATAAAATAATTTCACCCATCCATCATTTCTAATCACATTACATATTCCTTCTAGTTCTCTATTTAGCAGCTGTGCAGCAATTTACAGGTTGCAAAGAACATTCCAGTATTTTGTTTAAACTCCATGAAAAGAGCAAAACAGGAGCTCTGGTCCCAGTTTACAGGTGAGGGAATACACTCAGACTTAGGGTTTCTCATATTTACCTCAGTATGTAACTGACTCTACTTTTCATTTCCAAGAATCTCTTGATTTCATTACCTACAACAATATCTAAATCCAGCAGACAAATGCAGGCAAGATAGTAACATGTCCCCAGCATCTTCTGTTTCCCATGCTTAATTAACCATGATTAACTTGGATATTTAAAAGGATTACAAAGTAATCATTATAGAATAAATGTACTAACAAATTTACTAATTTACAAATTTACTAATTTGTTAGGAGAGTTATAGAATAAAAAGTCAGCTAGAACGTAATCTCAAAGAAGACAAGACTTTTTGTCTGTTTGGTCCTCTGATATATCCTCAGTGCTAATATATCCCTTGTGGTTGGCATACTAGAGGGGCCCAATGGACATTTCTTGAATGACTGAATGCGTCACATGATACACCCTACCAAGTAAGATCACGTTTGTGTTATCAATTGTAGGTCTTGCTGCTACTGTAACCAAAATTAAAATTACATAACAAGCTTACTTGGCAAATTTATAGTTTGGTCTCCAAGGAATAGACGTCTTGCAATACTTCTTCTATACCATGCTCTTGGAAATGCCAGAATTTCACTGAGTCGGCGCATATCATATTTAAACGAGGCAGACCCTATATCACAAACAGCTGATACATAAATAACATTTGTTAGTACAGATTTCTAAAACCTTTAATGTTTTCACATGCTAGGTATAAGACAGGGTTCTTATAAACCTGAATTATACTTAAGTTACATATTATGATAAGTGACGTGTTCTTGCACAACTTACAAAAACAGCACATTCTCACATTGTTAGTACCATTTCCCTTTTTTGAGGTGATGGCGAATTGGAATTCTATTATCACTTTATCATGAACTCCTCAGAGAAGTTCTAAAGATCAGTCTGATAGCCAGCTTTCAATTTTAATACAACAGTCTTTTCTATTATGGAAAATGAATAATCAGGATGAGCTGATACACAAATTTTCTCAAAAGGAATTGTAAACCAAATAGCTGTGTGGCAGGGACTACTATTTTCTTATCAGATTAATAGCAGTGACTTTAGACAAAAAACATTTTGATGGCCTTCTTCCAGAGTTCTGCTCTGGAGCATTCTTCTACTCCTGTTGTATGTGCTCTTCTATTCTTCTACCATAGTTTCTATAGGGTTTACATGCCAATGACTCCCACAGCTAAAACTTCTGTTTTTGTCTGAGCCCATACCTACATAGCCATAGCCCCTAAGTCAATTGTCTACCAGAACCTTCCACCTAAATGTCCTATAGACATTTCCTTCTTTATTTTCTAAATTAATGGCTTCACTGCTCCTTCAGCCATCTAAGCTAAAAGTTTGAGGCATTCTTGTCTCCTTTATTGCCCCTAATACAATTTGTACTCAAGCTTATGGATTCTCTTCTCTCTCTCTTCAACCCACTCCTCATTCCCTTTTCTCCTTTTTTTACTGCCACAGTTCATGCTCTCATCTGCTATTGCATGGTCTATTTCAGCAGCCTCCTCAAGCATCTTTTCTTTCCTATCTTTCAGGCTACCATCAACTCTCTTTCTAAAACACCATTCTGAAGCATCACCCCATTTCTTAACCTGTAATGGCTTCTCTAATGGCTTTTAACACAACAATTCTGCTTATGCCGAAATAATCAGAACCCAATTCTTTAGCTTGGCATATGATATGAGTCCTTACACAATCAGGTCCTATTTTATCAGCTTTGCCTCCAGCCTCTCTCTTTCTGGCTCCATCTACTTTGTACAACCAATTAAATGTTCACTAATACCCTATGCTTTAGCCACAGCAAATCAAAGTATATGATCCAGAAGCATACATTTTGATGCTTCTGTGCCATTGAATACCATGTTGCTACCTCCAAGAATATTTCTACTCATTTTTCAAAATGTGAAGCCTTTTCTGATTTCTCATACAAGACAGAATTTATTGTTTCCTCCTCTTTATATAAAGCTCCATTATAGCATTCATTATCCTGGACTCATTCATTTGTCTACACATAAGACCTTGTCTTATTCATGCCTGTTCCCCTCAATCACCTAGCAATCTCAGGTGAAAGTTTATCCTAAAACACAGGCTTAATATATATTTGCAGAATATTGGGTTAAGTGAACATACTGTATTTATTTGATTCATAATTATGAGAGCTTTTACTCAGTATTCTGGATTCTTCAGAATGTCTGTTTGCATTTAATTTTTAAATACTCAAATCACAATGTAAAGGAAATGAATGATTTGCCCATAGTTATATAGCTGTTTATAAAACCAGCAATATATATGCACACAATTCAAGGTCTTCTGACGTCAAGTAAACATTTTTAAACATCACTCATCCCATTTTAGTGTTTTAAGCATTTATAATTAGAAAAAAAGAAACTGTACCAATTCATGGTGGATAAAAACTGAAGAAAATAAGCAACTTTTACTGATGTAATTGGGCATATTTGGCCCTTGGGTGATATGTCTATTTATCTAGAAATTATATTCCTAACACTGATTACTTGGATTGAGACAGTACCATAGGCTGGGCATTCCTGTCCTTTATATCAACTTATCACTGAAAGCTTAACATTAAGTGACTTAATATTTAAACACTACTAAAACAGAGGCCATTATTTAATTTTGGAAAACAATATTTTAATTTAAAAACTATAAAATTGAGTACCAGATATATTTATTAATGTAGTGTCCATTTTGCTTGTAGACTTGTTTACAGACTGACTTTCAAAAAATGAGGCACCTCCTGAACGCCTGATCCGTGACAAACTCACTTTTACAAACTCAAGGTTTATACTGAGTGAATCTTTTCGACCAGTGACTGAAGTGGGCTCCTCATCCACATTCCCTTTAAAACAAACAAACACAACCCCCACATCTATGTATACATATGTACACACAGTTGTCTAGTTAAGTGAAAATTATCTAATACACTGTAATATGCCATGAATTAAAATCACTTGAAGTAAAAATTTAAGCACAGTGATCTAATGAGCATTAGCTTTCCTAACAACAATTTAAGAGGTTCAAACCCAAAAACATAATTGGTGATTTTTACAGCCCTTCTCCAATAATAGCAACTAGAATTGACATGGAATACATGTTTTCATCATTTATTTAAATACAAGTCAAGAGTTAGTTACTAATAAGCTTTTATGCATTTGCAGTGGTTCATCTGCACTTCAAAGTGATAATGAAATTTGATTTCACTAAATGGCTGACTTAAATTATAGTCTCTTTTTAAATTAACAAATGTGACCCATGCACTTTAAAATTTTACTTTCTATACAATTTGTTATGTAAATGGACAGTGATTTGCTAAGACATTTAAACATTTCAGTGACATAAGTAATCTCTGATATCCAGAGATTACTGTGCTATGTATATCACTTAGAAAATATTCTGAATTTTAAAATTCTTGTATAATTAATTCACCTGAATTACTTATTGTATATGTATACTTATTATGTAAATATGAGATAGGTATTATCAAAGAGGAAAAATATAAAAATGATCTTGGGTATGTCCCTTATGATTTATGAAAATAAAGCTTAGAAGTTTGAAAACATGCTGTAAATCTGAAAAAGACATGAACATGCAAAGTATACCTAATCCTCCTGATCCAGGTGTAAGGCCAGAAACAGCAGTTTTTTGTTTCCCTGCTCCATATGGATGAAATACATAAAGGGAAAAGTCAGACATGCATGCAGTGAAGCTCAAGCCAGATGAACTACTGCTGGAACTGGTCAGGTCTGACTGACTACTACTATGTCGACTTCGGCCAAGAGGGCTGCCTAGTCCTGATGAACCTACAGTGAGCACAGGAAATTGAAAATATAAACCACAAGAAAAAAACGCCAGTCAATAATATGTTCTTAAGAACCAAACATGACTTCAGAGTAAAATGGAGACACTCAAACATATCAATAGATTTAACAAATCAATAGATTTAAATCCTTAAAACTGAAATAAAGACTTAGATGTGTTTTCCAATTAATTTACACCAGGGTTGAATACTCTGTTCATCCTTAAAACAATTATTTTTATATATATGTTTGGCCTACTGCATGGTTTCCTATTTTCTCCTTGACTCCTAGAAGCAGGCAATGGAAGAGGCCCAAAATAGCTGGGGCTTAAGCAAAAGGGGAGGAGAACATACTGTAAAAAATCTATATCATATACTTGGAGTCCACATTTCAGTAGATGCAGTGGAAACAGGGCAAGGTATGCAAATGCAGAAAGTAAAAAGATCTCGTGTGGAGAGCCAAGTGTCCTTGTTGGTAACATTTACTGGGGATGGACAGGTAAATTCCAAAAACATTTTAAAAAGACCATTTGAATAGATTATTAAATGATTTTGCTGGTGATTCCAAAATGTATGTCCAGACCAGACCTCCTTTGGATTTATATATTACAACTGCCTACTTGACCTCCTATTAGAATGGTTCACAGGCATTTAAACCGAACTGTACTCTTGATCTTTTTCCTTGAATTTGCTTTTCTTCCAGTGGGCCCCATCTCCAGTAAATGAATACTTCATGAAAATAGCTCAACCAGGCTGGGCGCAGTGGCTAATGCCTGTAATCCCAGCACTTTGGGAGGCTGAAGCAGGCAGATTATGAGATCAGGAGCTTGAGACTAGCCTGACCAATGTGGTGAAACTCCATCTCTACTAAAAATACAAAAACTAGCCGGGCGTGGTGGCATGCGCCTGTAATCCCAGCTACTCAGGAGGCTGAGGCAGGAGAATTCTTTGAACCCAGGAGGTGGAGGCTTCAGTGAGTCGAGATGGCACCACTACACTCCAGCCTGGGCAACAGAGCAAGACTCCATCTCAAAAATAAATAAATAAATAAATGAAAAGAAAATAGCTCAACCAAAACCTGGGAGTTACCTGTCATCTTTCCTACTCCTGACTGTCTGTCATGCAGTTTATCATCATTTCTATATCTCAGGCATATAAAGTCTGTCCGTTTCCTTCCATCTCACTGCTGCCATTGTAGCTTAAGCAATTATTAACTCTGCCTGGACTACAGAAACAGTTCTCCTTGCCTCGTCCTACTCCAATCAACTGCCGCACTGCAGCTGGACTGGTATTCTAAAAGTATGTATGTGAATCATATCCACTCCCTTGCTTAACCTTTCAGTGGCTTTCCCACATGAGTTGACTCTTTCCTATCTCTCTAAACCCTTCTTATGCCAGTCTCCACACTTAACAATGGCTTTTTTTTTTCCTTTTTGTTATTCAGAGTTGCCAAACTGTTTCTTCTTTGTGGATTTTGTATTCTCTCCCAGGAGTGTCCGTTCCCCCAATTCTCTGCTTGGCTAACTCATACTCACCTCACGTTTCCATTTAAAATAAGCTTGTCTGCTGGGCTATTATTTGTTTCTCCAAATTCAGTTTAGGATCCACATTAGTAAGTATGAACCACGTCTATTAGCTAAGTTCACTATTACTACGCCCTAGCACTGACCCAGACCACAAAGATTCTTTGACAGAATGGATATTGTCGCAACCTATATATTATCATCATCATTCCTTGAATATTTTATAATGATAAAATGAGGGGTGCTATTCATTTCTGTTGTTTTCTAAGGAATAATAAAATTTGGGCATAAAAAGTTTCTCATTTCATATTCCTTTCACTATCTATTCCTAGCATGGTGCATATATACTGCTATAATAATTTAAGTGCTAATAATTTATGACATTAGGACAGTTTGTCACTAAGAAAAAGATTGACATTCCAAAAGAGAAATGGGCATGGGCATATATTTACCACTCCCAAGAAATAGCTAATGAAGTAATAGAGTACAGATTAATAAAATCCAATTTTAATCCATCACATTGACAATGATTAAAATTTAAAGCAGTGTTGGAAAGAATACAATGAACTGGTGTCCATACACACTGTGGTGAGAGTGTAGAAATGTTACAGTCTTACCAGAAAGCAAATGTATCAAACACTTTCAAAATGTTCATACTTCCTAACCTAGAAATTCCACTTTTAAGAATTTCTCCTAAGAATATATCTTTGTTTAAAAATATTTACATATAAAGATGTTGACTTTAGTATTATTTTGAAAGCAAAATAGTCCATGGAATCTCAAGTATATGATCAAACTAATGGAATATCTTATAGCCATTACTTTTAGAGATGAATATTTAATAATTTAGGAAAATACCTATGATATTTTAAATTTTAAAAAGTTACATAGAAGAGGCCATATTTCAATTGTTGCCTTGGAAAAAGATTGTATCACTATAGAAATGTTGTAGTGTTATCAGAGATAACACTGGTTATCTAGGATAAAGGGATATTCTCATTTGCATTTCATCTTTAGTACTTTTCATTTTCTATAATGAATAGTGAGTGTAAATTTTATAATCAGAAAATGTTTTTCAAAGACCAACACTACCACTTACAATATTTTGTTGACAACACAACTCCAACAGCAATATTTTGGAGCTAAGTACTAGATAATGGGTGACCACATTAGCAAAATCTTTATTTCTAAGATATCAACCTTTTTGTTTTCCAATTTTGTGAAAACTTTCAAAGATTCGCACAGCAAAAGAAATGATTTCTTATAACAATTTCCCCACTAGTACAAGTAAATACTGTGTTCAAGATATAATTTCAATTTTTCAAAGAGGAATTTTGGGATGCTTTCTCACAAGCCAGTTTGTAATAATTTTTCCAACTGATGCTTGATGAAATTATTAGAATAAAGATTTGAATCTAAGATGACTCTCAAGTAGGACTCAAAACCTAAGCTGTATTTCCTTACAAATCAGAAAGGTAATTTGCCCTCCACAGTCTTCATGCCTCTCAAAAATGGAATTTGGGATTTTATTTTTTTCACTCTTAATGCAAGCCTTCTCAGTCTTGCCATTATTGACATTTTCAACCAGATAATTCTTTGGGAGTGGAGGGGGTTGTCATATATACTATAGAATGTTTAGTAACATCTCTGGCTTCCCTTCTAGCTGCCAGCTGTAAACCCTCAGTTATGACTATCAAAATTGTCTCCTAATATTGCCAACAAGATAGCTCCTGGTTAAGAACCACTATTTTAACTATATTCCAGTCTTATCAGTTTTCATTCAGTCTAGTCTCTTTTTTTCAGAGGTATTCAATAAAATCTTTACCATTTGCATGTGTGATCTCTGTTTCATTTTTAGGGCAGAAATGGCACCCAGTTTAACATAGTGAGGAATGCCTATCATCTCAGGAAATCAATTATATTTTAAAAACAAAACCTTTATGAAACACATATTTGAGTTAGATAACCAAATTTGCCCTTTAAAAATACATATGCTACTGCTACTTGATACAGTTTTCACTCAGTGTGATAAAAAAAAATCCCTGTAAGGTAACACTATGTTTCTTATTTTCCATTTATAATACTGATTACTCCTGAATGTCAAGTATAGCTTAAGATAAAAGATATTCAAAAGTACTTGAACGTGTGAATTATTATATAGTAGTTATGTCATAGCACTTGTAGTATGTACATTCAAACCAAATTCAAAATACTATCTAATTGCCATTCAGCTAAAAATAGAAACCAAAGGGTACTCAAGTTCAAGTAACACACGAAATATACTCAAAACATTGGTCTACTACAGATTTCTTTCTATAAATAATCCTCAGATTTCCCCTTTTCCAAGTATATTTAAAAATATGTATTAATTACTATTAAAATATTCATTTAAAAATAGTATTTGGTTTTATACTAGAGGAATAAAAGAACATTATCTATACCTGGTATTCCAGTTTTGCTAGCAGAAGTCTTTGTTCCACTCTGAGCAGCATTACCTCCAGGGGATAAAGTTTCTGCAGGATATGTAGTCCCTAAAGTCTCCAGTTCTCCTCGGTTTGAAGAAAACACCAAATCCAGGGATGGCAGCTTTAACATGCATTCTACTCTTGATACTGGTAAACAGCTAAATTTTATCTGTGAGGGCTAAAAATAACAGAAAGAAAAAGCTTTCTAGGAACTCGATAAATGAAAAGTTTTAAATGGAAATAATATTGAAATGTTCAATACTTAAGAAACTTTTTTTTTAATAGAAAGAAATGAAGTATATCACCTGAACTCATACAGAAACCACAACATCTACAGGGAAGTTAAGAAATTTCACCTTGGATTTCAAAAGTTACCTTTAATTTCCATTTCTGTCTACATATATTGATCATGTTTACTCATTTGATACTTAAGATTTTGTGTTTATTGTCCTAGCTTTTTTAAACAGAAGCATGATATAAAAATCAAAATGTATAAACAAAATGCTATCATTTTAAAACACCTAAATATTTGAGGAGCCATCTCAGAACAATAAGACGGTTGACCCTTGAACACCACAGGTTTGAACTGTACTGGTCCAATTAACGTATGGATTTTTTTTCAGCCAAACATGGATTGAAAATACAGTATTTGGGATGAAAAACCCGCATATACAGAGGGCTGTCTCTTTTCTTTTTTAGTAATTCCTCAGGGCTGACTGCGGGACTTGAGTATGTGTGGATTTTGGTATACATACTGGGGGGCAGGGGTAGTGTTAGAGCCAATCTCCTAAGTATATGGAGGGACTGTATTTAGATATTTAGATAGTTCAGAACCTTAAAAATATTTATGCTCATATTAAACTTGTTCATAATAACAAAGGTTGGTTATAGTTCAGAACCTTAAAAATATTTATGCTTATATTAAACTTGTTCATAATAACAAAGGTTGGTTTTTGTTTTTTTAGAGACAGGGTCTCACTCTGTTGCCCAGGCTGGACTGCAGTGGTACAATTATGGCTCATGGCAGCCTTTGAACCTACCAGTCTCAAGCAATTTTCCCATCTCAGCCTCCCAAGTAGCTAGGACCACAGATGCACACCATCACACCTGGCTTTTTTTTTTTTTTTTTTTCCTGGTAGAGATGGGGTCTCCATATGTTGCCCAGGCTGGTCTCCAACTCCTGGGCTCAAGTGATCTACCCACCTCAGCCTCCCAAAGTGCTGTGATTACAGGTGTGAGCCACTGCACCCAGCCCAAAGGTTTTATAACCCTCAAGCCCTCATTCAATTCTGTTTTCATCAGGCCTTTAAAAAAGCTAGCTAAAAATTCTACAATGTAAGACTGAAGCTCTTTGGCCACATTAACGTTATAGAAGATAGTTGGAACAGATGACCATTTGTGTTTCCTTTACTCTTAAGATTGATTATTAGATTTTAATTGAGGATCAACTAAACCCTGAAGTTTTGATACAAGTAGTTTTAAATCCTCCTTGATAAACGGATTTAATTAAATATATACTATATCTGGTATAGTATATATGCTAATATATATAATATATACTAATATATTTGGTATAGTATATATGCTAATATATATAATATATACTAATATATTTGGTATAGTATATATGCTAATATATACTCTCAAAGGCCTATTGGTAGGACAGCATTTTAGAATAAAATACTAAATAAAAACTAGGTAACGCTTAGCAAAATTTTTAACAAAAGTACTATTGTGACTTTACATCTCAATTACACTTTGTATCTGCCCAAAAAGAACTATAATGGCAAGAAATTAAGGTGCCAAAATAAAGGCATAAAATGCTTAAAAAAGGGTTTTAACTTAAATATTTTTATTTTTGCCACAGAAGTATGAGTTTTAATTTTTGAAAACCCAAAGATCTATGAAACTTCTTGGTAGAAAAGTGAATACAGATGATCTCCAATTTAGGATTTTTCTACTTTATGATGGGCAAAAGTGATACACATTCAGTAGAACCTGTATTTTGAGGACCCACACAACCATTCTGCATTTCACTTTCAGTAAACATTCAATAAATTACATGAGATATTCAAGACTGTATTATAAAAAAGGCTTTGTGTTAGACGACTTTACCCACCTGAAGAGTAATGTGTTCTGAGCACATTTAAGGTAAGCTAGTTTAAGCTATGATGTTCAGTAAGTTAAGTGTATTAAATGTATTACTGACTTATGCTATTCAGTTTGTGATGGGTTAATCAGAACTTAACAGCATCATAACTTGAGCATCCGTATATACATAACATTTCACACATACTTCACAGATACTGAAGCAACCTCCAAGCCATCATAAACATACTAAACATTCATGAACCTGAGGTTAAGAAAACTTTTAAACAGTAACAATGTTGAAGTGTTCAAATAAACTTAAGAAAAACATTCCTCTTTAAAACAGAAAGAAAGAAATGAAGTATGTCACCTGAACTCGTACATAAACCACAACATCTACAGGGAAGGAAGAGTAAGCAGATGTCGAAGATGACACTAGTGATGTTGTTGATTCTTCCATAGGATCTGGTATTTCAAAATGTCCCATATCTTCATCTTGTGAGCTGACAGCTGTTTAAAATATCTGGTTAAGTTTTATTATTAGATCAAAGGCAAACTATTTATTAAAAGATTCTTATTGTTTATACAAGTGAGATGAGAGGTATGAACACCCAGAAACATTTGCTTCTGTAGCCCTTCATTCTATACATTTTTCCCTTTTCACACCTCTTGCTCATTCCCCCAAACTCAAATTTTCCTGCTGCTATACCAAACACTGTACAAAGAAACTAGTGATTATATCCTTGCCCTCAAAGAGATTCCAGTCCAAGGGACACACTATGGATGTAGAACCTAAATGTTAAATTTTGTCATTAACTAGCTGGGGCCATGGGAAAGTTCTATAACCTTACCAGGACTTAGTTTCTTCATTTGTAAGTGACAATTAGATGATCTCTCAAGTTCTTTTACAGTTTATAATTCTTTAATATTTATAATTGCATATATTATGTAATAATGTATAATAGCATTAAGAAAACCTTCTATATAATAAGATCCCAAAATATATGTGATGGGGAGGTATATAAGAAGGATGCTTACCTGTATAATTCCTTTCAATTGGTGTAATTGGGATAGTTTCCAGAGCTTTTTCCAGAAAGTCTAATAGGCAGGGACTGATAACCATTTCTTCTGGCAATGACTGAAGTGCTACCCAGGCATATAACTTGGCTGTTTTTACTCCTCCACTTCCTTTTCCTTTGGCTGGAACATTTAGAAATTCCATTTAATGGATTTTATAAAAAGTTCCAATTAAACAGAAATTTGAATTATATTAAAGTTTAATCAGGTGAAGTACCTCACATTTAAGGCCTTACAAGAAAATAATAAAAGTAGCAGGTTGATAGGAATGATATGTTAATGTTAGAATACAGAGGCAATTAATGACATATAATAAGGTGGTTATCCCTACTTGCTCTACATCACAAGTTTTGGTCCAGTTTTTCAGCTTTATATTTTGCTTAGTCTCTCATTAGCATTAGTCATTTTGTCCATTTAAGAAGATATAGAGAACTTTAACAATATTTAGTGGCAAGTGAAGAAAAATGTCACTGTTCTCAGGCTTTCCTAGGCTTAGCTTGTACATATTTATAATGCTTCCCTATATGGAATGCCATTTCTCTTTCCTTTTACCTAACTAAATATATCTGCTTCAGGAGAATGAGTAAAACATCTAAGACTTAGCTAGCTTTGGCTAAGGTTTTCAACTCTTAACATTTATTAGTTGTTCAAATCTAGGAAAGACATCCAACTTTTATGAGCCTTAACTTTCCTCATTTATAAAAGGCGTTAATATCTGCCATGTACTTAATGGACACAGATGTGCCTTGTTAACTGAAAAGTGGTATTAGGCATTCTCAGCATAATTACCATTTTAAAAGGTTTATATATCAGGTTTTGTCTCCCAAATGAAACTTTTTCAAATAATTCTTGTCTAGTCTGATATTTTTTGGAAATCCTGCCATGTATGTACGGTATCATTCATGTGCTATGGTAGCCAGATTCCAAGATGACGTTCAATGATCCTTGCCTCCTGTTATTCATACCCTTGTGTAGTTTACTTCCATACTGATCTTCTATCACTAGGTTTTACTCATCACACAGGTCTCTTTTGGAGAACACTCAAGAAGCCCATTAGAGAAGCCCACATGAGAGGAACTGAAGTACCAATTAGCCAGTCACATGATTGAGACATGATGGAGGCAGATTTTTCAGCCCCAATCAGGTATTCAGATGACTCTAGCCCTAGCCAATGTCATGACTACAATCTTGTAAAAGACCATGAGTTAGATCCACTGAGCCAAACTGTGCCTACATTTCTGATCAACAGAACCTGTAGTTGAGGTTATAAGTCATAAATTCTGGGTAATGTGTTATACAACAGAGAAGTAATAAATGTTTAAGCCCAATGTACTGTCACGTTTGATATTTCCATCTGATCATAAGCTCCCAAATTTGAGCTATATAAAACTACTCTTTTTATATGTACAGACCTAAAAATTTAAGTAAGTAAACTATTTGGTATATTGTTTATTTTATAACAGATATTCTAAAGTAATGTTAATTTCAAAAACAGGTGAAAATGGTTGGCCCACACTTCCATATATGAAGTCTGTATAGTCATTATTGACAAGTGTATGTCCTTTTTTCTTAAACATGTGCATTGGAAAGTCTCAAAAGAGCAAGTAGGTAATAACTAAAAATTTTAAAAATGACAAAAAATAGACTATATACTCCTTAAATACCTGCGGGAATAGGTGGGGGCTGGGGAGGAAGTAAGGTGTTAGTCTTGCTCTGGACAGTGCAAGGTAAAGGAGGAGAAGGAGGAGATGTTGCACTATCTTTCATACCATACAGCTTGGACTCTTTGGAGAGTGTTCTTGGCAAGGAAGATCCCCTGGAGGCATTAGGTGATTCAGTCTTTAGCGTCTTGGAATTGTAATGCAACTGTATTGAAATAAATAAACTTTTAAAATTAAAATTATGAAGATGAGGAAAATCAAGAAATATAGAAAAATGTAGAAAAGAACACTGGAAGTCAGAAGACTTTTAACTTTTAAAAGTTAGCTTTGTGATCCTGGCAAGTTTCTTTGCTTTTATTCATTTTTTAAAATAAAAAGGTCATTTCAGATAATCTTTAATGTCCTTTCAAATTGAATAGTCTATGATTCTATAATTCTAGAATATAAAAAATTGTTTAATGAAGTTGTACTAGGTGAGGTTTAGCAAGTTTGTTATGAATATCAATTTATTAAAAAACTGAACTTCTTTCCATCAAACGTCCATGGAAAATGCTATATAAATTAGTGGGAACCTGCAGTTTTGATGTTCTTCTGTCCAGAATATGGCCATATTAGACAAAAAAGTTACTAAGTCTCATTTTAATTTAATGAGAAAAAGATGAACATATATGATAGAAAATAAACATTGCTACCAATAGTCTAATCCCTTACCCTAGGCAATTAGGTTTTTACCTTTACATCAACTCCAGGAATGTAAAATACTGTTGTTTCTAAGTCACTAGGCTTTGTCTGTAGAGATGATGGCACTTTCTTGCCGGTCATTAAATGGGTGGTAGAAGCATAATTAGTTTGAAACTTCTTCTTTTTTGAAGGTGAATCTTGATCTAAGCTCCTGGAACTTCGATCATAACTCCTGTGAACAGAAAAATGTTATTCTAAAAAATGACACATTTATCTCTTTTTTTGTTTAAAAGCTAACTTTTATTTTTACAGTAAATAGAATATAATCCTTTAGGAAGTTGAAAAAAACTAAAGTTCATCATTATCTCTAGTGAGACTGGTTAATGCCTTGCATGAATGATGTAAATGTTGTATATTCCATAACTATACAGGGCAGTTACCTTTATTCTTTCCTAAGGTCGTGACTTTCATTTGAACATACTAGGTTGAACCAAATGAAACTGCCCTTTATAAAGGTAAAAATACAGCTAAATATTAGCAATTTATTATGGGTTATGGTTCAATAAAAAATAAACTAATAGTCATTCTTTTTATCATCACTACTACATTTGTAAGAGATTTTAACTGTTTATAGTACCTTTTTATTTTCTCTTATTTTATAAAAGCCTCAATTAAATATTTTATTATGGAAATTTTTGAACATATAAAAAGTAATCAGAATAGTATCATTAATGATCCTCCATGTTCCCACTACCCAGTTTCAATAATGGTCAGCATTCTTTTTATCTACATGTCCACCCATCCACTCAATTATAACTATTTTTTTTTTACAGTTCATTTTTAGATTAGAAAAGAAAAAATTTAAAGAAAAAATATGTTAATCCTGTTTATATCATCATTTAGTTAGTGATGTAAACAAATAATAAAGCTGCAGTTATATCCTGAACACAATTTCAGTCTACTGAGGTCTGTGTAACTGTCTCCCAGTCTTTCTTATTTCTTTATGAACTCATCAAAACTCTCTATAACCAAGATACTTCTAAGCACTGTGTTGTTCTTTAAAACTGAAATATGTATAATACAGGGACAGACACTGAGAAATTCATGTATGTTAAAAGAATTCCAAAGATATAACTATTTTAATGAAAAAATTTGCCAGACTCTAAATCAGACATCCATTTCTAGTTGCCAGAAAATATTATGCACTTGTTTATAAGAAATTGTATAAGAAATAACCACTTGACCATTGTAACTATAATTACATTTACACTTCAAATCTGCACTTTGGAATGGAGAAGTTTGTTATAATTCAGTGATATATGAATAGTATTTCTAATAAAGTTACATGTATCTTTTTTAATCAATTTCTTACCTTCTCAAACTTATATCATCATGTTCTTGTAGAAGGGTGGTTGGGTGGAGTACACATTTCCCACTATCAATTTCAACCCGTATATCAAGTTCAAAGTCAATATTTCTCTCTGTAGCTGTGCCACTAAGACTTCTATTGACTGGTGTTGTTGGCCAGCGTTCTGTAAATAGCTGATGAACAGCAGCAAAGCCTGTTGCTTTTTTACGAGATGTGTGTCTACAGAAAGAACAACTGATCATTACATTGTAGTAAAATAAGAGTCTTTTTAACGAACTATTAAACATGTTCTCTGAGCAATAGTCTGTAAATAAATTTTACTATTTTATAAATTAACTTGAGTGAGTTTAATGGAGCCATTTTACTCAGCTGTTATGTACTGAATAACTATTATATGCCAGGCTATGTGCTAGGTGATGAGGACACAGACATAATCACCACTTTTAAGGAGTCTGAATATCAGTATATAAACTATACTGTGTATGTTGGAAAATATTTCATTTTCTCAAATTATAACATTTAAATGTTACTTTCCAGATTTTATTAAAGACAGAACAAGGAAAGAAAAGTAATGCCATATGCTCTTTAACAAATGGTGCTGGAAAAACTGGATATCTACATCAAAAAAATGAAATTGAACCCTTACGTTATACCATACAAAAATATCAACTCAAAATGGATTAAAGACTTAACATAACACTTGAAACTGTTAAACTCTTAGAAGAAAATATAGGGAAAAGGCTTCATAACACTGGTCTTGGCAATGATTTCCTGACACCAAAAGCACAGACAACAAAAGTAAAAACAGACAAATGGGACAACATCAAACTAAAAGAGCTTCTGAAAAGCAATGGAAACAATCAGTAGGTGAAAAGCATGGAATAGCGGAAAATATTTGTAACCATATATCTGACAAGGGGGTAATTCCCAAAGTATGTAAGAAAATCCTAGCATTCAGAAAGCAAAAAAATCCAATTTTAAAAGCTGGCTAAGAACTTAAGTAGACATTTCTGCAAAGAATCAGCCAACGGGTATATGAAAAGATGCTTAATATTACTGTCATCAAGGAAATGCAAATCAAAACCACAATAAGATTATGACTTCATACCTGTTAAGATGACTATTATTTAAATAAAAACAAAAAATAAGTGTTGGCAAGGACATGGAGAAAACAATCCTTGGACATTTTGGTAGGAATGCAAAATAGTGCAGCTGCTAGGGAAAATAGTATGGAGATTCCTCAACAGATTACAGTAGAACTACAACATGATCCAGAGATCCCACTTCTGGGTATTTATCCAAAAGAATTGAAATCGGGATCTCAAAGAGATACTAGCACTCCCATGTTCACTGCAGCATTTTTCACAATAGCCAAGATGTAGAAACAACCTAAAATGTCCATTGACAGACAAATGAATTTAAAAATGTGATGCATACATACAATGGAATATTATCAGCCTTAAAAAAAAAGAAGGAAATGCTGCACTATGTGACAACATGTATGAACTTGAGGACATTATGCTACATGAAATAAGCCAGATACAGAAGGACAAATACTGCAGGAGTCCACTTATATGAGGTATCTAAAATTGCCCAACTCATAGAAGTAGAGAATAGAATGGTGGTTGTCAGGGGTTGGGGGTCGCAGGGAGGTTGGCAGTTGCTAATCAGTCATGTATAAAGTTTCAGTTATGCAAGATTAATAAGTTCTAGAGATTGTGCCTAAAGATAACGATATTGTATTGCACACTTAAAAAGGTGTTAAGAGGGTAGATCTCATGCTAAGTGATCTTACCAAAATAAAATAAAATATTTAAAGAACTTATCCAATTGTATATCTGGAAAATATGGTTACACTAATATAAATTATATCTCAATAAAACTGACAAAAGTTTTCAAAAAGGCAATGTAAAACATAAAAAGTAAGGAGATATAGATCATCTGTTCAGGAAGGCAAATGTCCGATTACTGTTAAGACAAAACAAAAAAAAAGGGAAGAATTTATCCACACAACTATAAAGTAATATTTCCTATGACAAAATTTATATTATGTTTTAAGAAATACCAAAATACCTAGAAAACTTGTTAGAAAAGACTCAAACCTGGACCACCATGAAATTAAATATAATGACAAGATTCTAAAAATTTCCTAGAAGAAAACAGATCTAAAATATCAAAAAAATCTTAGGTCACATTGACAGAATTGAAAAAGATAACCAGCATATGCTGAATATGGATGCTGGAAGATAACAGCAGTTTTTCTTACTTAGGAGAAGAAATAAATATTAGACTAGAATTCTTTTCCCAAAGCAATGATAAACACAAAAGCAGTAAAGCTATTTTAGACATGAAGAAAATGAAGATCTGCAATAATAACTTTTCATAGAAAGTTATTTGAGAATGTACTCCAGAAAAATGAAGGAATAAAACCAAATATGCTGATGTATCAGATTTAAGAGTCAGTGGCTTCAGTCTAGGAAAGGGAGGAAAGAATCCCTAAAGCTCAAAATACAGAAGACTGAAGATAGAGACAGTTTCTTATAGATCAACTTTCGGTTATACTCTTGTGCTAAGGCAATTTCTCATTATTTATTACCATTATTAGAAACTCTTACTATTACTGTCACAACCTCACTTGAGGGTGGTTTAAACACATCAGTTCCAAAGATCCTTGCAGCTCCTCTTGAGGGCATATTCAGAACAAAGTTTCACATATGTCATTTATGTCATTAACACCATTTCATCTTATTTCTTTCTTCTAAGAATTTGCTTAAGTCTTTCATCTATTGCTAACCACTTCCCTTTACTACTTTTCTTAACTAGCCTTCACTATTACGTATGTCCTTGCTGCAATCTGTTACTTTAATGCCACAGGAATATAGCCCTCTCCTTTAATTTACTCATAACCACATCTTTATTTCCATTTTATTTTAGATGATTAAACTTAGATGACTTGAAAAACACTTAAATTTAAAAAATAATGCTATATGGAGCTACATCACAATAAACCATGTGATAAATTTTATTAAAATAAATTTTTTTAATAAGTCTCACTCAAGTGTGGCACATTAAAAATTATTTTTTGTAAAAGTTGAGTTATATGTAACATTTTGTGGTCATTTCTAAATTCTGAAATACTACATTAGGATCTGAAAACAAGGTTACTCACGAGGGTTTCCTGTAAATATAAAACCTTTCCCTCTCATGGTCTTCATCTTTTTCATCCTTCTCGGAATCTTCACTGGTAGAAGACAAACTGTCATCCCGTCGGCCCTCTTCAGTTTGGAAAGGAATGCCTGGTGAAAAGCCTCCTGGAGTTTTGGGAGAACTGAACACGGAACATGATCCTTCACTATTTGATGAGTAATGGGATGGACCTTCAATGGTTACTGACAAAAGGTCCAGTTCTGTCTCCTCTGGAAACTGATTGTAAAAACAAAAAACATCAATCAGATTCATACTTCAATTAAAAAAAGAAAAAATATATAAATTTAAACATTTAAAAATCATCTCAGAGTTGAATTTCTTCACTCTGAAATGAAAGAAAGGTCAGATTCATGAACATATGAAATAGTACACCAAGGAAGGAAGCAAAAGGGCCAACCACAGAAAGTTACACTACTAACATACTAAAAATCAGAATGAGATTTTACTTTATATAAACATATATTACTGTATCAATAAGTAAACATTGTAATTCTTTACAGCAGAAGTTAAACGTGGAAGCAAAAGAAACATGATTAACTGTAAATCAGAATGGCAAGAGCAATTAGTGATAGAAGAGCATGCAGTGTCAGTACAAAGTTTATTATTTTCTCATCATGCTAGTAGATGCTTTTTGTGGATACATCTTTTAAAAATGAGCCCCACATGAGTTAAAGAAAACTGTGCAAATAGCTGAGTAATAAAACATCTATCAGTCAAACTGAAGAATGCTGTATTTTAAGGTAAACACAGTTGGCTCTCTGTAAACACCTACAGATTCAATCCAGTGTAGATGGAAAATATTGGAGGAAAAATAAAAATAATAGTACAATATAAAATAATACACAAAATATTTAACAACTATTTATAATAGCATTTAATGTGTACTATGCATTATAAGTAATCTAGAGATGATTTAATGTTTATGGGAGGATGTACGTAGGTTATGTGCAAATACTGCACCATTTTATAAAAGGGACTCAAGTATTTGTGGATATTGGTATGCATGGGGGTCCTAGAACCAATCCCCCACAGATATTGAGAGATGACTATAGTTTGTATAAACACCATGTCACTAACTCAGGATTTCACCAGGAGACCATTTAAATAGGTCAAACAAAACAAAACAAAAACCCCATGACCTAATTTTGATGCCTAACTTCACAGAGTCACAGAGTTACTTGAGCAATAATAAGCCTTTATAAAGTTTAATGTGCAAACTAATTTATGTGCAATTTATTATTAAAACTACTGGATGCTGCTATTCGATACACAGTTAAGTCCTACATTGACAATTTCAAATCCACGTGTTCTTCATTTTATATAGTATACATGTTATTGAGTTAACAAATCAGATTGTTAGAACAGCCAATTTTTAAAACTTTGGTAAGAGACAGTAAATAAATATTTCTTTGTTTCATATTTATTTTATAGTTAACCATTCCTTAATAATCTATTTTCTAATTTATGATTAGAAAAATCTAATATTTAATCTCATAGCTATTAATTTATGATTTTTTATATACTTTTTTTTACAAGCAGTACATGGCTAATTAAAAATGGGACTTGAATTGAATCATTTCAAATATTAATCCCTTTGAGAATCACCTGGTTAGCAGAATCCATTCTATTCATGTAAATTATTTCTTTCCAAGTTTTCTTCATAAAAAAAGAACATATTTGTCAAGCTCACTCTATTACAATTAAACAGTTCTTTAAAAAATCCAGTTTGACTAAATTCAGTATAACTATGAGATACATGTTGAGACTCAAGCTTGAAGAGAGTGACAAAAGGGAAACAAAATATATTTGGGTAAGTGCTAATTTTTAAATGTACCTTGACAAAAAAGATCTAGATATTCATTCTTCTACATTGTTTTGAACAAAAGAATAATTTAAAAAATGGATAGTTTTATAAATGTTCTTTTACACCAGTGACTCAAAAGAATGCTCAATTATTAATGTTTGTTATGAATTAAATTTAATTCTTGTTTGAACTAATTAACTGATCTTTGTTTATGAAAAAATTCATTTTGTAGTTGAATATGAGGAAAAACTGCTTCACTTAGGGATTAGGAAATAACAGATTGTAGTTTTTTATTTATGATTCGGTTGATTTGATTAGCTGATTTAGTCTTTTAGTTTTTAATAGTATTAAACTACACAGAAGTAAAAACTAAGACAAATGCATGCAAGAGGTTATGAGATGTACATGATGAAAAAAAATTCAAACAGTCTTAAGCCATTATGTAAAATATTTCTGAGGTCTAAGTTTAGTTTGAAATGAGAGGAAGATATTTTGAAAGCAGATTTTCAGTGTGGTTGATTAGTTTTAAAGCACAATTTATATTGTTCTTAGGAAGTACCTGAAAATACCCTTCCCCAGGACAGCTGGATTGTGGTGTACTTCCCCATACTGTATTTTTCGACTTAATTAAAATAATAAGAAAAGTAAAAAAAAACAAAAACAAAAAAAAACATGAAAAATAATGACTTAAAAGTAAATATACAAAAAACAAAATAAACATTTTAATATAATGTTTAATATGCTATGAAATTAGAATACAACTTTGAAGCTGATCTTCCCTCTAATTTCTGCTATCTATCTATAAATAAAATACATAAATGAGGATCAATATTCCACATTTACATTTGTGTAAGATGTAGTTTAATATGGATTCTCACTGGAAAGAAAATTTATTCAACAAAAACCTTTCTACTTAAGAGAAAGCAGTTGTGGAGCCTTTATTGTAAAACGTAAACTACTAACACCGGCTTCATGGCTCTCAGATAATGTTATGAGGGCAGTGCCCACTACTTGGTAATACGCAGACAGTTCAATCATCACAATCCATACTTTGATTGTAGTCAGAAATCAGTATTTTGAAATAGTGTAATACCATAATTTTATAATTTGTAAAAACTACTTAGCAATGTGCATTTCTAACAAATTATATATCTCTTACTGTATCCTGGATATTAAAAGTTACTCTAGGTCCAGGAGATGCTGCATCCACACGGATTTCTGGGAGCTCTTCAGTTTCTCCTACTCGAGAACTGCAAGTAAATACAAAGTTATAAAACACTAATATTCTCATTAAAAAAATATTCCTGGACTTTATAAAGGTCTGATTAATGGCAATAACATTTTATTTGTAAGTATTTACCTAATCAAAGGATTGGACTTTCTCTTAACCTTTAGCATCCCATAAAAAAGACTCAATGTTTTGGTTAATTCAAGATTTTTCTAAAACTAAATCATATAAAAAGAATTTATACTTCTTACTTTTTATAGTGCTGATTTACTATTAAAACTGTATTTCACTTCAATAAAATGTAAAATTTCCATTTTTTCATATGCTAAATGTCTGCGTGACTATACTTTTTCTAAACTGACAAATTTAGAGCAGTAGCTACTAGTATGCACCTTTTAATTTCTTTGGATAATCTATAAGTTTACACAGAAAACTTGTCTATCCTTCTAAACTACAGTTTTATGTAAATAAAAAAGAAACTTGTCTAAATAGCGTATTTCATTACTAAAAAGCATACCCCACATTGTGGTTATAAATGTGATGAGAGATTCCTTAAATAAAATTCTGAGTTTGATAGTATCCACTATTATTGCATTTTACTAATAAAATTAATTTTTATTATCTTAATTTTATAATTAGAACATAAAAAAGTAGCTGACCTTGGTAAAAGAGTCAACAATTTTATTGCTTGTTTCAATGGCTGAAATATATATTACCTTGCCCTTTCCATTCGCTTAAGAGGTGGTCTTCCAGAAGCAGAAATGGTTTTTGATCGGCTATAACTTGGTTTGTAACTCAAACCCCACTTATCCTTTAGGGAAGCAGCCTAACGAAATGGGAGAGAAAAGTGACTATAGGTGATTATTTATTGTTGTAATATTTGACTTCAAATAAAAGAAAATATTCTACTATTAAATAAGTTAGCTTGTTTTCCCCAGGGGACTTTAATGTCACTTAACGTAAGTCAAAATAGAGGAGGAATCAGCTATTCTTTGGTTCTAACACCAATTAGGAGGCGCAATGAAAACATGAGCCACCAGCTGACCTGAGAGAAAAGAAGAAAAGACAAAGTTTGGGGGCAGGGACGAGGGTACAGAAACATGGTGAGAAGAAAGGAAATGATTTTAAAAGTAAGAATGGAGAAACTGAGAAAGGTTTGGGGAGAAAGCTAGATTCGGGGCAGGGGGGAAAAAAGATCACTTTTCTCCAAGGGCATCCCTTTTGTAGGACTCTTCATTACCACAAAGGAAAGTAAGAGTGTTAATGACTTAACACTTTCCCTGTCTCTAAGTCCCTCTTCTAGAAACTAGTGATGATGCTAGATAGTTAAAAGATTCTAATACAGTGGAAGTTTGGAGTCTACGATGGGTAATGGGAATTGAGGGGAATATGTGGAATGAGATGTGTTAAGAATGCAGATGTTTTAACAACTTCCGTAATTCTATCTAGTTTTATTTTTAACAGTCAATTACCAAATATGACCTGTAACAGGACACAAGCAATATTTTAATTATATTGTATGACTGTTGTGTAGACAGCAAAAATTTTAAATATAAAATTACATGTTACAGATCTCACTATCCATTATTACTATCAGAGACTAGTGACAAATAAATTGGAGAGCAGTATTCAAACTATATTCTCTGGGAGTTTAGAAGTGATCAAGGAATGGCAGGTCAAGCCAATAGCTCCTGGAACCCTGCAACAAACTTTCCCCTTTCCTCTGACAACCGCAGCTCTGATTTAATATGTTTTTCATGTGTTGGGGTACCACCCAAAAATCTCATCCTGGTTGAAAAAAAAAAGAGTTCTCTGTTAGTTTTAAAATTTTTAAAACCCATTAATCTTTTTTTCTTTTTAAGTGGTTTTTAGACTTTGTTTTCAGTTTCACATGTAAGGAGTTTGGAAGTCACCATTCCATCCTAAGAACAAGTAAAAAGCTGAACAAACTTAAGAATCAACAGCTGTTCTTGGAGCTGTGAGAAAGGGGACGAGGAAGAACAACTTCTGCCCCTCACAATGGAGAAAGAGACCAGTAAATACAGTGAGTTAACAGCTTACTAGTACAGAGATGCACAAGTAAAAACTGCTGCAGGAACAAACACTGGGGTAGGAAAACCTGAACTGTAATTAAAGAATTGCTGGAAGGTTCAGTGCAGACAAGTCTGAGAGGTAAAAACTCTAGGGAGACCCAGTCACTGGTGCCGCCAGTCACCGGTGCCCCCAAATATTGTGAGATCACCTTTCAGTAGTTCCACCAGGTTCCCACAGTAAATGTCAGAGGAAAAAAATCCCCTCAGGAGAAAAGTCCCTTAAGGCTTCCAACAGGGGGAAAGGAAAAGGAACCATTTTGAAAAAACACCAAGAGTACTTTCTTTTTCTGAATAAGAAAAAATGCCCTTAGGAGAAATTAGCTAACCAGAGCCTAACCAGTGGGAATATTATCAGAGCATAACTGACCTGGGGAAGGGAAATACAATACCAATACAGTCAGTTCTATCCATACTGGTCCACCTAAGTTGGGAGGAAAAAACTGACAAACGTGAAGTTCACAATCCAGAGGCATAGGCTCATTAAAAGATGATAAAATGCTTCTCTTACCCTGACACCTTAACATTACCTCACTAAAGATTCTTTAGAGCAGCTCTTTTTCCTTGGTAAATCATGTCTGGCTATCAAGAAAAAATTACAAGGGATATCAAACAGCAAAAAACACAATCTAAAGAGACAGAACAAGCATCAGAACCTCATAGAAGGGATGTTGGAATTATCAGAGTAGAAATTTAAACCAACTATGATTACTATGCTAAGGGCTCTAACAGATAAAGTGAACAGCATGCAAGACCATTTTTCACTGTAAGTTGAAAGATGATAATTCTAAGAACCAGAAAGAAATGCTAGCAATCAAAAACACTGTGATAGAAATGAATTATTTTGATGAACTTATTAGTAGACTGGACATGGCTGAGGAAAGAATATTTGAACTTGAGGATATATCAATAGGAACTGCAAAAAGTGAAAAGCAGAACAGAGACTGAAAAAAAAAAATAACAGTATATCCAAGGACTGTGGGACAACTACAAAATGTATAAAGTATGTGTAATGGAATACCAGAAAAAGAAAAAGAGAAAGGAACAGAAGAAATATCTGAACCAATAATGACTGAGAGTTTTCTCAAATTAATGTCAGATGCCAAACCACAGATATAGGAAGCTCAAAGAACACCAAGCAGGATAAATGCCGGGGAAAAAAAAAAAAAAAAAAAAAAAAAAAAA